TGTGCTCCGTTTCAAGCATAAAAAAAAAACTTTTCCACTCCGGCAGAAATGTCGGATCGGAAAAATTTTTGTACCCCACCCGGCCCATTCTTTTTTTTTTTTTTTGGACTTACTTTCTCACAAGGTTGCAAGAAAAGTACTCCTGTTTAGTCTTTTTGCTGACTTCTAAGCCTGTACTTCTCACAAAGGCTCCTTCCAAGGGTTCCTTCTCTCTGTTCAGTATACTGCAAGCCAACACCCTTGTCGTTTCTCCTTCTCTGTTTTTCAAGGTGAGAATCTTACTCCTCCCAAACTTCCCATCTACTTCTACCACTTCCAGGATTTTATAAATCACTCCGATTGGGAGTTCCTTCCATTTCAGGGTTTCCAGGCTCTGGTCCTTTGCCTTTTCCTCGAAAACATTATCGTTGATAAAATTGTTGTCTGTAATTTTTGAACTTTTAAGTTCCTCCATCTTTTGTACGAAAGTCATATTTTGTTTCTACCCTAGGATTACATCCCTTTAAGGTGTCTCTACCATTGTTTGCAAAAGCCATATTTGTATTTACCCTTAGACTAATTGAAATGCTGGTCCATTTACATTGTAAAAAATCTAAAGTTGGATTTATGCTAGATTTCCCCTTAAAAATGGAAAGTGCCGCAGAATCGGCCTTTTGACATTACTAATATACCTTCCAGATATTGTGGGATACAAGAGGAGAAAAACCTTTCCTTATATAGAGTCCAGCTCCTAACATGCCATAAATAGTGGCCCTTCCTACTTTCAGTTTTTCGTCAATATAAATTGTATTCATTTCATTTCTGGTTATAGATATAAGAAGATGTGGTATGAGTGCCAATGAGACAACTCTCCATCCAAGTCAAAATTTAAAAAAGTAAACCATTATAGGTCACAGTACGGTCTTCAACACGGAGCCTTGGCTCACACTGAACAGTAAGCTATAAAGGGCCCCAAAAATTACTATACTTAGATGTTTTGCAGTTGTACTTCTACCTATCTGAGAGCTGCTTATGTTAACTACTCTGTCCTGTTTGGTATTATAGCATACAAGGTCCGATTTTTGTGGGCTGATTTTGACAAGGTCTCTCCGTGTATGGTGGTATACAATGTCAATAATGCCCTGTAGTTCACTTTCAGAGTTTGCTAGTACTAATATGTCATCTGCACATGTTGGTGTAGCAATGCCTATTGTTCCCATATGGCTTCCTTATCCACTTTCTGTTACACTATCTAGAATGGCATTATTATAGCATTTGTATAAAGAGGTTGAGAGTTTTGCTCCTAGCCGAATTCCTTGGTTGACAGATATTTTGTCAGAAACAAGATCGTCCCATTCAATTATAATGCTCATTTCTCTATACATATTACGGAGTAGAATCCACATGTCACCGTCAATGCCATAGTGATAGACCTTGTTGAATAATATTTCATGTTCCAGTTTATCCAAAGCCTTTTCTGCATCCAAAGTTAGTAGCAGGATTTCCTGATCATCTTCGCAAGATTGTATAACTTCCGATGCCAGGAATGCGGCAAATATCATGGGTATCCGTTATGATGGAAAATGGTTTCTTTCTCTGGGTAATCTCGGTTTAGTTCCAATGAGTTTTCTGCCACGAATATCTTTAATAAAGGATCATGAGATGTTTTTGATCGATGTATAGACCCATTCAAGTCTTCACATAACAGTATATCATGAGTGTTCCTGTATTTTTTTTTATTATTTTCTGTCATTTGTGCCAGAGTATCTTCGTACTCATTATCCACATCTTTGTTGTCAGATGGCATGTATACATTAATGAGACATAAGGGTGTGTTGTCAGTTTCCATCTGTATAACCTGTATTCTATTGCTCCCATCAACCATTACTGATATTTTGTCATCTATCTCTTTTTTCCATAGTATGGCTACACCACCATATAGCCTCTACGAGCAATCATACTCTGGATTTTCGTCGTCAATGCTTTTGGTCGTTACAATCATATTTGTATCAATAGCGTGTAAAAGGTGCTGTTCTGGTTTAAAAAGCCAATACTCTTGTGGGCAGCACAAATCTAACTTCTTGAGGAGTTGTTTTAGGTATGTCATGTTCCCTTTTACACTTTGCACATTGAAAGTTCCTATAGTGATTTGCGACGTCTATTTCTGTTTCCCGGGCCTATCTCTAAAAATGGTTCTTATTCTCCTTTCATGGTCTCATGTTCGGTATAGTTGTTTTTGGCAATCTAGTCTCTGTATTTTGGCCATGGCTTTCATTATCAGCTGATCTTTGTGTTCGCAAGGTTTCATTAATCTCCCTTTGACTAGGGTATTTTTTGTAATAGTTTTCTAGTACATCCTTGCCATTTATGTTGTTAACGTGGATTTGTCCCGTTTTATGAGTGGTGCTCCATGGTATCTTGATGGCGCATTCGTGGACATTTTAATTCCTTGAGCTCTTCTCACAGTATATTGGTCTTGTATACATGGTCTGTTATGTATATAGCTAGGAAGGTTCACTATTCTTCAGGATGTAACATTCATTGCTGGTTCTTTGTGTTTCCATACTGTCACATTGGTGTATTTTAGCGAGCCAAGGTTTTATTTTGTTCATTATTAATAGGATCTCTGTTTGATGAGATTTGATTCTGTACATTATTAATAGGATGGCTGTTTGCTACATGTCTGGATGAACTATAGACTTCATCATGAAGCTTAACAGTTGTGGCTTCCTTGTTAATTTTCTTTTCTAATCTATCAGTAATGGTTTGCTGCATTTCTAACAGTGAGACTTTGTTTTTTTAATTCCATCATTTCCATTTGGTGTCCTATTTTGATGTCTCTTATCTCAAGCTCATGCTTAAATTTCTCGATCATGTCTTCAAGTTTTTCCTCAATGTAGGAGTCCTTGTTTGCATGGTGTTTTCTGCATAGGCATTGTTCTTGTTCATTATTGGTCAGAGTTATATTCTTGACTTCCAGTTGTAATCTGAGTAAATTGATGATGTTTTTGTAATCTCTATTTACATAGCTATTCTTGCTTTACATTGTACAAGCTGTCCTTCAAGTTGTCTTTCTTGGCTAGACACTTCTTTGGTTTTATTAGCCTTTTTTGTTTTTTGTTTTCGGTTTTATTGGTATCTTCAGGATGGTTTCTTCTTCAGAGATAATAGCTGCTGTTCCAGCATACTTAGCCCCTTTACATGTCGCTCTATTTTTTTTCTGCTGCCTGATTGACTTTTATTTCAGCCATGTTGTTTTCCTGGCTGTAGGGCATAGTTTGGTCCATTTGTGTACATGTAAAGCATATATAGTCATTATTCATGTCCTCAACTGGTGCTACTCCATCTTTTTCACAGTGAGCATGCATGGTTTGTTCACATCGGCAGCAAAAATATGTTGGGGTGAGGAGTTCATCGTTTAATCGTCGGATTTCTTGGTTGAGTTCATCTAGTGGATACTCAAGATGGATTCGTTATGGTGACCAGATGTAAAAAGTGTAGGTTTCAGTAGCATGAAAAGTTATGGTCAGATTTTTCTCAACCCAGTTTACGCACTTCTGGACAGTCCATCCACTTTTCACGATAAATCTGATATTCAAGCAGTGCTCTGTAGTGATTTCTCTTTCTATGTACTTCCCTTTGCTGTCGGCTAGTATCACAGCTTTTCTAATGCTTTTTTTCTACTAGGATTTTAATACTTTATACTCCGACATGTAGAATTCTTGTAGTAAAGTTGAACGGAGAAAAAGGGGGGTGGAAGAAATCAAATATGGCGCACTTTTGATGTATGGCAGGGAAGGGAGTGACCGGTCAGAAACTGAATTTTACAGCTCCTGTGTTGATTTCCGTAGCAAAATAGTGTTTAGTGGGATGCGTTAATTACAATAAATATACGGTTTGGGTGCGGATGTTTGACAAATGCTTGCAAACAATATTTTTCTGTGCTCTGTGACTTGTGTACGTCTGTCTTCACCAATCACGTGACAATATTACCAATATTTAACCAGTTCCGGGTCGAATCCGATACCGATACCAATAGTTTATGTCACATGTAGTTTCCGGTTGTTACCTGTAACCTTCTATAAATCCCTCCTCTTATCAGAAGAACCAGGAATTCTTCCAGTAGCTGTTTTATATCCACGTGACACCATAGTACACCATTCAACAATTAAGTCCTTAATACCACTATTAGTTTTGGTTGATTAGTTAAAAATCAAAAAAATCAGGACGGGTTCAAACAGAAACATTTTGAAAGCAGAGGAAATTTTTCACCTTACAATCAGCATGACTTTATCAGATGACTATACGAATACTAAAAATCCAGGCTAAAAAAAGGAATAGATACTTTAATTCAGTCACGGAACCGCGATGTCGTCACGAACCAACTCGTTATGGAATATCTACGTCACAGATGACCACAGATATGTCCTAATTTTAGTAGCCGCAACACCTTCCTCTTTTCTTAGATTGTGACATCACCGAAATTGAACTAGCATTGCGTTACACGACGGGTACCACATTTGTAGCAGGATATGCTTACCCTTCCAGTGCATATGAGGTCACCCTTGGTTTGTTGGTGTGGTTCATGTAGCTCAATTTATCTTTTTTGTATAGATTAGACCGTTGGTTTACCTGTTTGAATGGTTTTACATTAGTCAGTTTTGGGGCCCTTTATAGCTTGCTGTTCGGTGTGAGCCTAGGTTCCGTGTTGAAGGCCGTACTTTGACCTATGATGGTTTACTTTTACAAATTGTGACTTGGATAGAGAGTTGTCTTATTGGCACTCATACCACATCTTCTTATATCTATTTGAGTTTTCTACTTTGTAGACTAGTGTTTTGTAGAATGTGTTTTGTAGAATGTGTTTTGTAGAATGCGTTTTGTAGAATGTTGTTTGTATTTCGTCACTTATCGGGTTTTTGCCATGGTGATTCTCTTCCGACTTATTTTGATTGTACCTTTGGTATCTTTCACCTTTTTTTTAACAAGATGCATCACAAAATTGACAACTAATACTAGTGTTTGGCGAAAGGTGCTTTATTATAATAATGCATTCAAATATAGTTATACCAAGCATGGTATCAATAAGCTACAATGAACAAAGTGTCAATATGAAGCACCTGAACCCCAATGTGGGTAATAATAAAATGCTCCGCAGGGCGCAGCTTGATACGACCGCAGAGGTCGAACCCTGAACAGTTGGGGCAAGTATGGACACAACATTCAAGCTTGATACAGCTCTGAATTTGGATTGTGATTAAATATTTGACACAACATAGGTTTCTGACACAGAATGAATGTGGTCTAAGAACTTAAAAAATTTAAATTGGACATTCACCTATTATGGTCCAATATCCAAAATCTAAATACATGGTTAGATTCAGCATATCAAAGAACCCCAAGAATTCAATTTTTGATGAAATCAAACAAAGTTTAATTTTGGACCCTTTTGACCTCAATGTAGACAAAGTTGATAACGGGGCCCAAAAATCAAAAATCTAAATACATGGTTAGATTCAGCATATCAAAGAACCCCATATATTCAATTTTTGTTGAAATCAAATAAAGTTTAATTTTGGACCCCGATTTGGACCAACTTGAAAACTGGGCCCATAATCAGAAATCTAAATACATGTTTAGATTCAGCATATCAAAGAACCCTAAGAATTCAATTTTTGTTAAAATCAAACTAAGTTTAATTTTGGACCCTTTGGACCTTAATGTAGACCCATTTGAAAACGGAACCAAAAATTAAGAATCTAAATACACGGTTAGATTCGGCATATCAAAGAACCCCAATAATTCAATTTTTGATGAAATCAAACAAAGTTTAATTTTGGACCCTTTGGACCTCAATGTGGACCAATTTAAAAACGGGGCCCAAAATCCAAAAACTTAATACACGGTTAGAATCAGCATATTAAAGAACCCCAAGAATTCAAGAATAAAACCCCATTGAAATTGGTCAAGAAATAAGCAATTTATATGAAGTATCTTCTTTTGCACAATACTGTGCAATTGAATATTTCTTGCTATTGCGCAATACTGTACAATTGACAATTTCTTGCTATTGCGCAATATTGTGCTATTGGATATTTCTTGCTATTGCGCAATACTGTGCAATTGAAGATTTCTTGCTATTGCGCAATACTGTGCAATTGAAGATTTCTTGCTATTGTGCAATACTGTGCAATTGAAAATTTCTTGCTATTGCACAATACTTAGTAATTATATAATAATTTACACATCCTGTTTGGTGTGTATCTCCTATCATATCATTATTATTTGCTTTTAAATATAAATCAGAAATAACCAACTTAAAATGGAAAATTTTAAAAGAAAAAAAAAAGGAAAAAAAGAAAAAAAATGAAAAAAAAAAAATCCCCCCCCAAAATTTTTGAACCCCCTTATGATTCATCACCCCCAAACTCAATCCCAGCCTTCCCTTTGTGGTATGGTACCTTGCAGTACAATTTCAGAGAGATCCATACACTTGAACACAAGTTATTGTCTGGAAACTAGAAACATGTGTTTTTTGGCCCCAAATTCCTAAACGTTTAGGGCAATTACCCCCAAACTCAAACCCAGCTTTCCCTTTGTGATATGGAACCTTGTAGTACAATTTCAGAAAGATCCATACACTTACACACAAGTTATTGTCCTGAAACTAGAAAAATGCTTGTTTTTTCCCCTTTTTGGCCCCTAATTCCTAAAATATTGAGGCAATTACCCCCATCATCAATCCCAGCCTTCCCTTTGTGGTATGGTACCTTGCAGTACAATTTCAGAGAGATCCATACACTTGAATACAAGTTATTATCTGGAAACTACAAAAATGCTTATTTTTGGCCCCTTTTTGGCCCCCAATTCCTAAAAGTTTCGGGCAATTACCCCCAAACTCAATTCCAGCTTTCCCTTTGTGATATGGAACCTTGTAGTACAATTTCAGAAATATCCAAACACTTACACACAAGTTATTGTCATGAAACTAGAAAAATGCTTGTTTTTTGCCCCTAATTCCTAAAATTTTGAGGCAATTACCCCCAAAATCAATTCCAGCCTTTTATTTGTGATATGGAACCTTGTGGTACAATGTCAGAGAGATCCATACACTTACACACAAGTTATTGACTGGAAGTTACAAAAATGCTTATTTTTGGCCCCTTTTTGGCCCCTAATTCCTTAACTGTTGGTACCATAACCCCCAAAATCAATCCCAACCTTCCTTTTGTGGTATTGAACCTTATGGTAAAATTTCATAGAGATCCATTCACTTAAACTAAAGTTATAGTGCAAAAACTAATGTGTCTTCGGACGACGACGACGACGACGACGACGACGACGACAACGACGACGACGACGCCAACGTCATACCAATATACGACCGCAAAATTTTTGCGGTCGTATAATAAAAGTAATTAGAAAAATTTACAATAAAAAGACGGAGAGAGAAAAAAAAAATTATATCAATTACATAATGAAAAGTGGCTGGAACATGCTCTTTTGCTTAAAACCACACATGGTAATTAAAACCCGGATAAAGTATCAAAGGGAGGCAATTTCGTACAAGGCGTTATCAATTAGGTACAATGAGAGTTGCCTCCCATTGTACGCAATTTTGATTTGCACGAGGATTAAACATGTTTTATAGACTACTACTATTATAGAGGTAATTTTATTTCTATGTAATTAATTAGGATTGTCATTTGGCAATAAAGTAATTTTGCCTTCCATATTGACCACGTGGTTTTCCTCACTTCCGCCACAAACACGAATCCAGCTATCTGCTTGAATGCCATCTTCGTGTTCGCAAATATTAAAACCGCCATACATTCCAGGCACAGGATAATAAAAACTTCCATGTTCAAATAACAGAGAAATTTGAGGTAAAGCTTGTCCATTTCCCTTGATCAAGTCTTTAACTCTACCATTGATGACTTCGTGTAAGCCTTTTTCCATTTTCTCAATTGCAGCGGCATTTTGTTTTATTTTCTCTGGAATCATTAATTGGTCCAATATAACCTTATCAAGACCTTTACTTTTTGCAATGTCATAAGCGGTTTGACCTTCAGCATTCTTCATACATTTCGATGCCCCCATTCGTATTAAATCTTTAAATATGTTCTCCGGTGCACCCAAGTCAGAAGCGTAATGAAGAGGCGTAAACCAGGTAGGACCTTTATTATCTCCCTTCACTGGAAGTCTGCTTGAATTCACGAGGTCGCCACTACTTTCCAACAATTCTATAAGATCAGACCACTGACCAGCTTTTCCTAAATCGTCTATCTGTTGATGTAGTTTTACAACATCGTCTCTGAAGACATTTGTATATACGTTGATAGGATAATTCGCCATTATCTGTAACAACAAAATGAATTTAGAGCAAAATGACTTTTTTATGTGAAATACCAAAATAATATTGTGGTTCACACAATCTGAAAATAACTTTACAATATTGTAGTCAAGAGTAATACGGGACTTAAACAAATAAGAATTGTTCAGAAAATAATTTTCCGAAATTTGTTGTTCAGTATTTCGAGATGAATTAGTAGAGAGTTGTCTCATTGGCAATCATACCACATCTTCATTTTATATAGGTTGATTTCTGAAGGAAGTTGTTACACGTTGACTTCAACACAGAGGCAAAAGAAAAATAGCAGTCTTTTCCTAAATATGTAAACAACATGCAGTTAGATTCTCGACGTGCAGTGGCAAATATTTCATGCTTTCTTTACTAGAACAATTGATCATTGTACACAAAAGGAACGTTCTGTAAGGTTGGGGTCGACCAGGATGACATCCGGAAAATTATATAACTAGAAAATGCGGTTATGTTCAAAGAAAATGTGCCTTACAACAGGCCCCCCACAGACCCCTATTACAATGGTTTTTTAGCATGCAGAGAGCATGTTACTCTATCTTCCTGAGGCATCGGATTAGATGTCGCCACTCTAACTTGACGTTGCTGCGTACTTATACATCCCACACAGTAAAACAGAAGCCCCTCTTTGACAAGGGTTTAACTGCAGGATGGTAGAAGTAAGGGAGCTACCATTTGATTTTTATGGGAGGGCTAGGATGAAAAATGTTGTCCTGCCTTTTTTTAGCTGTAATCTCTGTCCTGCCTTTTTATTTTTCACTCTATTCGGTCCTGCCTTTTTTTTATTAGTTTATCCTGACTTTTTTTTACATAAATTGTCATCCTGCCTTTTTTTTTGCCAAGTTGCTCATCCTGCCTTTTTTTTACTCAAAACTCCTGTCCTACCTTTTTTTCAAATTTCATCCTAGCCCCCCCCCACCCCACCCCACCCCACTATGAGACAATTCTCCACCAGAGACCAAATGACATAGAAGTTAACAACTATATGTTACCGTACGGCCTTCAACAAAGAGCGAAACCGATACCGCATAGTCAGCTGTAACCGGGTCCTTAACCTGGGACAGCGGTGTAACGGCACAACACAAGAACAAACTATGCAAAACAATAAACAAATATAACAAACAGCAAAAAACTACTATCACTCTATACTGAAAGAAGGCTGAAGGACTTAGGTTTTTGCTGCTTACATAATTTACATACACTACCGTCCCAGGTTAGGAGGAGGGTTGGGTGCCCGCAAACATGTTTAAGTCCGCCACATTCTATATGTTCCTGTCCCAAGTCAAGATCCTGTAATTGAGTGGTTGTAGTTTTTTGCTGTTTCTCATATTTGTTACAGGCTCTTGACTTGGGACAGGGACATATAGAATGTGGCGGAGTTAAACATGATTGCAGTTAAACATAGTTGCGGATCCTTCAGCCTTCTTTCAGGATAAACACTAAAAAAAAATCCAACCTTTGCTTCAGATGTTATCTCCTAATCATCAGCAAGCTTCTGTCAAAGTTTATAAAATTCTATGAAGGTTAGACCAAGGTATTGTAGGATCGATATGTCTCGCATCTGAGACTCGCCGCAGGGTTGACTAATCAAAATGTTATAACATTTCGGGGTAATATCGTATATCAGCTGTTCTTGCTCCAACTTTATATACAATTTAACAGAATTACAATGATTACAGATCAATCATTAAACATCAGATATATTAATTCAATTTGGTCATATATTCTAATGGCGGATTCAGATGAGGTATGCCCGGCCAATTCAGAAAGGTATAATTTTTGGGGCAAAAAAAAATATGTCAAAACCAATTTCGACCACGTTTTAATGTTCGTGCCTTATCAAACTCAAATCATTAATCCGGCGTGTATATATACAATCCAATACTAGCAATGAATGACATATCACTTAGAAGAATACCCCTACATCAGACATTGTTTCAAAAGAGAGGCGGAAGATGCCAAAGGGATAGTCAAACTCAAAGTTGGAAAAAAAATGACATAGCCACATAGCCATGGAAAAAAAAGACATACAACAGTCTACAAAACTAATAGAAAACTAATGACTGAGCAACACGAACCCCACCACCAAAAAGCGGGGATGATCTCAGGTGCTCCGGAAGGGTAAACAGATCCTACTATGTAACGTCTTGGTCATACACCATTTAATACAAAAATGGTGGACGACGTCAAGGCTGCAGTGGCGGCGGATCCGAGGGGGAGGAGGGGGGGGGATCCAGGGTTTGGAACCCCCTTTTTTGTTCACGATCAATGCTTTTGAATGGGGACATATGGTTGGAACCCCCCTTTATCCTTGGTTGGAACCCCCACCCTTTTAAAAATGGCTTGATCCGCCCCTGCAGGCTTATTTAGAATCATAAGTCTAAGAAACTGCCTACGATATGACAAGAGACGAAAAGACAAACAGCAGTACACAAAACACCATATAGAAAACTAAAGGCCGCTAAGCATGACGGATCCCATCAATAAACTGCTTCGCTGAGCGCAGCTAGATACGCCCGCAGAGGTCCAACCCTGAACAGTTGGGACAAAAATGGACACAATATTCAAGCTTGATTCAGGTCCAAATTTGGATTGTAATTAAATATTTGACATATTATAGGTTTCGGAATAAATGTAGTCAAAGATCTTGAAATTGGTTATATGAATTGAATTTATATTCAATTAAAGATTTCTTGCTGTTGTGCAATACTTAGTAAATCTGTTGTCAGACTATAAACAAATAAAATTCAATTAATTCTCAATGTCATATTAGAAATTTATGAAAATAAAAAGGGAGCTTACATCAATAGATATAAACAATTCACCAAAGTTTCATGAGAATTGGTGACAGAATTTTTGAGTTATTGTCCGAAAACTGGAAAATCACCCCTTTTTTTAATGAATGAAACCCCATAACTTAGAAATGTAAAATGTAAAATTTATAAAATTCTAAAGGGAGCTTACATCAATACATACAAACAATTCCCTAAAGTTTCATTAGAATTGCTGAAAGCATTTTTGAGTTTTTGTCCAAAAACTGGAAAATCCCCCCTTTTTTCATGAATAAAACCTTGCAACTCGGAAACGTAAAATCTAAAATTTATAAAAATTGAAAGGGAGCTCATGTCAATAGATATAAACAATTCACCACAATTTCTTGCAAGTTGGTGAAAGTATTCTTGAATTATTGTCCAAAAACTGGAAAATCCCCCTTTTTTTAATGAATAAAACCCCATAACTCGGAAACGTAAAATCTAAATTTTATAAAAAACGAAAGGGAGCTCACGTCAATAGATATAAACAATTCACCAAAGTTTTATGCAAATTGGTTAAAGCATTTTTGAGTTAATGTCCGACATGTTGACGACGGACAGACGGACGGACAGACGGACGGACGGACAGACGGACAACGGTATACCATAATACGTCCCGTAAACGGGCGTATAAAAACTGGGTGTGTACGGAGATTTATACAAGGGAATGATTGCAGTATAGCAGTGATCAATCGTATCGGACAGCATTTATATATAGTACAATAAACCCTACAGGTTATGATAATGAATCATTAGTTTAATAACTCGAAACTTCCGATGTAAGGGGGATTACAATAACGTTTAAAAATAGATATTAGGTTTGTCTGTAGTACACAGTTCAACAGTTGTGTAAATAGAAGAAACCATTTTTAAAGTAGTTGGACATCTACTTCAAGTGAATTTTACAAAGAATATATAAGAATGTAGGCATACAATACCTTGGGTGTCGCAAAGTATATAAGGAAATCCACTGCCTAGATATCAGCTGGGGTATGTCACCAAAACTATTTATAAATATAAATATCAACAATGAAAGTAATTCACAAACAAGTACGGATGGAGAAAAATTAGATTCCGTTGAAAACAAACTGCTTTCTTTAAATAAAGAAATGCAATACGTGAACCTGATTGGCTGTTAGTTGTTTTATTTCATTCTGTTCACACTAATTTAAAATGCAGGTACATGTACTTATATTTGTTTAATTTATTTCTCTTCCCACAAATGTAATATGCAAGTATTTCTTTCTGTTTCCACCAATTTAATATGCAGGTACTTATATTTATGTTAAAAGACCCCGATATGACAAATGTGAAACAATTTCCAATAAGAAAAAAACAACGGCATAATTTAGGATTAACCAAAAAACAAATATGGCAGACAGCAACTTACAAACACTGAATTACAGGATCCTACCTTCGACATACACATAAAGAATGAGTGTAGTTACACATGTCTGTGGGCACTCACATCAATTCCACCTCCTTACCTGGGACATTGGCGTAGCATTACAATGTAATAAAAAACTGTTAAAATCAAATGAAAGGCGCCTAACTCCTATATCGACAAGAAACACAAAACACCAAGAAACAAAAAAACAAACGATACAAGCCACAGACACTGTGACATTGTGGGGAGATGCTACTTCGGAGTAGATCAAAGTAAAGAAGGCTTTTTTTCTGATAGCGGTATTAAACACATAATACATATACGCTGGTCCGGTATATAGACGGATACTCGAACTTATTTTCAAATTCTGTAGATATTAACCATTAATTTATTATATTTCAAAAAAATGATATTATCCATAGTGCAAAGTCATATACCATCTTATCAGTAGATAAAAAGTTAAGACCCATATAGAATAGAATAGAATAGAATATTTTTATTTCCCAAATTACAGGGCCCAATAAGGGCATAAAATCAGATACAATTGATTTACATAATTGGTAACAACAACAATAATAGTCACTTGAAAATATATATTTAGTATATTAGCATTGGTCAGAATCAGAGCCAAAAACCACATATATATTGTGAATAAAAGAATAAAATTACATTATATGCATTCATTCTCAAATCATTTACTTTACTTAGTGTCAATATGCATACCTGATCTCCTTAATTCAAAACAGTCACAAATATAACAGCCCAGTTTTTCCATAAGAGTTACATTTTCTTGAGTCAAGAGCAATAAAAATTTAGAAGATTTATTTAAATTTTTAAAATTATAACAATTGTCAGATATGTATTGAAAAAAGTCTTCCCTTTGAGTATCATAAAGAGGACATTCTAACAAAAAATGAAGCTCATCTTCAACTTTACCAAATGAGCAATTTGAACAAAGACGCTTAGATCTTTCTATATATTTTTTTGAATATCTGTCTGTCTCAATTTTTAAAGAGTGAGCACTTATTCTTAATTTACAAATTGACTGTCTTTTTTTAAAATCCTGTAGTTCTAAATATTTTTCTTTTTTAAAACAATTTTTTATAGAAAAATAAGTACCAAGCTTCCCTTTTTCAGAGTTAATTGTTTGATACTTCAGTCTATTCCAAAATGTTAAATAACTTCCACATAGTTTATTTTTAACATACTGACATAAAGAACCAATTGATTGGTCAAAATTTGGTAAATCAATCTCTCTCTGAATATAATCTATACTAGAGTACCATGTATTTACATTAGAAATATGTAATTGTTTACAACATATGAATGCATCAAATAATAATCCTTCATATATCAATTCCTTCCCATTGATAATTGACCTTGCATCCCATTGGTTTATTTTGATATAGAAATGATGTAAAATTGTAGATATAAAGGGAGTCTAACTCGTTATATTGTAGATATAAAGGGAGTCTAACTCGTTAAATTGTAGATATAAAGGGAGTCTAACTCGTTAGATTGTAGATATAAAGGGAGTCTAACTCGTTAGATTGTAGATATAAAGGGAGTCTAGCTCGTTAGATTGTAGATATAAAGGGAGTCTAGCTCGTTCGATTGTAGATATAAAAGGAGTCTAACTCGTCACTAACTCGTCAGATTGTAGATATAATGGGAGTCTTAACTCGTCAAATTGTAGATATAATGGGAGTCTAGCTCGTTAGATTGTAGATATAAATGGAGTCTAACTAGTTAAATTGTAGATGTAAAGAGAGTCTCGCTGTGTTTAAGACCCATAGGTGGCCTTAGGCTGTTCTCTACTCTTTAGTCGGGTTGTTTGACACAGTCCCCGTTTCCATTATCAATTTTAGTCTAACTCGTTAGAGAAAGAGAAGGTCTTTCTTCTTATTCTAATTTGGTTAGAGGGCTATCTTAAGATCTCGAGATTGCATGTTCGAATCCATCCATGCAATATTCACAACAATGGTGCTGCTAACAACGACTACTAGTACAAACAGGGGTCTGTAATTGTACCGGACAGTTAAATAGACATGGCCATGAGGTATCAAAGGTCATTAAGGTAACATTTTACTGACATTTTAGGTTTGTGCGCTGCTTTTATATAAATCGAAGTTGCGGGTTAGAATCCCGCTAGTACCAATCATTTAATTTTCATCCAAAAAGTGACCCTTTGACGAGTTGGCATGGCGTATATATTATCATTCAAAACAAGTGAAGTTGGAACATTTTTATTGTACTGATATGAACTTCACACCAAATATATACATGTACATAAACATGACAGACAAAATGAAACAGTTTTTTTTTCTAAAGAGGCTATATAGGCATAACAACACGTGTACGGCTGTTCAAAAAAAATTGACTCTCTGGATTCAATTTTAAAGTTTTTGCCGAAAATCAGTATTTATGTACCAAAATCAAAATGGTTGCTATCGTTGAACCACCATTATATAGCTCGTTATTAACTTATCACAAAGTTTTGACACCCATTGTTAAAAGCATCATCTAGAATGCTTATAATCTATCATGAAAGATTAATGATGTTTCGCTTGCTTTACACTTATCGATATTTACCAGATTAAGACCTCTCAGAATGTAAAGAACCAGTTATACCGTCGATTGGCTTTCAAAATGTAGTAAATTACTAATTTTTCAACAACAAAAAAATCTCACAAAAATGCTTTGTTTGAAATGCTTGCTTCCAAAATGTCGTATGCGAACTTTATCATTTTTGTAAATGGCTGTGAAATAAAACCTTGGTTATTTCTGGATAACACAAAAACTAACCTTATTTTCACAGAAATAAAGAAATATACATTAATTTTCAAGTTTACATACAACATTTTTGAAGCAAAGTTTACAATCAATTGGGAATGGCAATTTTTTCTCGTGTTTTGATTGGTCTAAATGTATGACATTTTGGAATATTAAGAGATTTCCTCCCACTAAGCCCGTTTGCAAGAAAAAGTAATCATAGCAAAATTAAAACTTCATATACGACATTTCGGAAGCCATTCGACGATATGTATTTTTGAAAGATACCTACAGTAAACAAATTGTGAAAAAAACAGTTTGAAAATTAAACCACCCATTCTTTATCCAACGCCAAAATCTCCAAGAAAAGTTATCATATTGTTCAAACAAACTCTTATAGCTTAGAAATTAGCATCTTTTAAAATTGGAAGCATCTTAGAATTGTTTATTTTCCGATTTATATTTTTTCAAATTATTTTGCTAAAGGAAACCTCTTTAGTTCAGATGGACATCTTCATCCCAAAAACGTTATGGAAAGAGAGCGTGTTGGTGTATGTGCAACCTATATTACGATTTTAATTATACTAGAGTCATGATAAATATGGATTAATTTCTAATAATATCAAAATTACACAAATCTATTAGTTTCGAAAGAGCACACACATATCAATGCCACACTTATACATTATTGTGACATTTGTTTTATGTAAAGTTTGTGGGTTTTGTAGAAGTAGTCTTTTCCCTAATCACCATGGATACAGTAACGTCTATTACTTTACAACATAACATCGTAAAGTCTGTTTCTTAGCATCTGGTTCTTGGCCATCAGAACACGGGCTTCAAGACGACTGAAAAAGAAAAATATAAATGTGTCATTCATTGCAAAATTTACCCTACACTCTTCAGATTCTTATTTTAACAAGGAGTTCGGATACTTAGTACTGCAAAATATTTTTTGTTTGATGTACTTCAATGAACGTGTCATTCATTGCAAAATTTACCCTGCACTCTTCAGATTCTGATTTTAACACTTAATACTGTAAAATATATTTTGTTTGATGTACTTCCGTTAGCACAGACACTAACGACGAATTTCATGCGTAATTTTCATACTTTACTTTTTTATTACATTAAATACTGACCATGATAACATTGATTGCTACTTTTAAAATTATTAGTATTTTTAACTTCAAAAATACTTATTTCTAATGATAGAAATCAAAATTTCTAAATAGTTTGATTTTATGTTTAATTTGAACAAGAAAGAAAATAGTTCAGTTATTTACAACTTATGCGCTGAATAAGAATAAATAATCAAATTTTCTAAACGAAGGTTCTTGAGAATTGTTATTCTGGTCAACCATATAAATATATTATACAGTTAAAATAATAAAGAAAATATCTTACTAGTGCATGAGATCTCTGAGAATTTCGTGGAGATCTCCTTCCATGACAGTTCCGGTTTCAGCTCCGAACTTGACTGCCATCACGTGTCTGACGACGTCAGAGTCATCACCAAAAGCGTGCAAAAGAGCATCTTCAGCCCCTGAAAGGATAAAAAACATACATGAGTTAAAACATGCATGTCTGTTAATTACTGACATAACAGAAGTAAGATTTGTAAAGTCACAAATATATTCAAAGCAAGTTAATATATGGAGCAAAGTTTTTAAAGTTTTGTCAATTGAATACAATATTTCCTCTCCGTTTTTGTGCCTTCAGAATGGTAACAAATATGTTCTGTTCAAAATGTTCGATTTTTTTTTAATTTCAGTGTTATCGTTCTGAAAGCGCAATATTCCCCGAGTGTCTTGAAAAAGTCGAAAATGTGTTCGACTCAAACCTAGTAATTAGTTTCACTTCATTGCAAAATTACAGTTATTTTTAACATTCTTAAGTGGACGCACCCACCCACCCCTTTTTACCATCCAGACCTTTTGTTTATACAACTTTTCTAGCAATGCATCGGATTCTATTTTTTCACACTATTGTTTACGTAGTATTTTAAGAGTATCAAAGCGTACAGAGAAAAACAACAAAAACAAATCAGTTCAGAAATTTTTTTTTAATCGAATATAACATATGATTTTGATATAAGACACACTCAAAAATTGACCTCAGAAAAAATGTATAAAGAAAATTTGAAAGAATGAAATAAAGTGTGAATAATATATATGTATACCTTGAACGTAGCCTGGGGTAACCACTGGAGTCTGTGGTCTCTGGTGAATATCGATGTCAAGGTTCAGGTTCATTCCTGGTCTCATTTCCATTGGTGGACCTTGCATCATTGGTGGTCTCATCATTGGTGGTCCCATTGGTCCCATTGGTCCCATCATTGGTGGACCTGTAAAACCAAACGAATCAAATACAGATTTTAATGCAATTCGTTTGCAACGATGATTATGATTGGACGACGTCTTATATTTTGTGGGGGTAAGTTGCTTAATCTAATTCCTTTTTTTAAAAATGTGTATTTTACATACAAACAATTGATACATTGGATATATAAGAACCGTAAGAATTTCAAAATTATACACATTATGGAAGAAATAAATAGATTACTCAAAGGAAGATCAAGCTTAATACCTTGCATCATTGGAGCAACCATTCCCATTAATTGTTGAGGGTTGAATTTTCCGCTCTTCATCATTTTCTTCAACATTTCTGGGAGGTTGGACACGTCTTCTGTAAATTAAAAGCAATTCTTATAAAAATATACAAATTTCTTTTACCGTTATTAGATACAATAATTGATATATCAAATAAAAGAATACACAGATTTACAAAATTACGATGCTTTTTTTTATAAAACATGTTTTGAATTTAGGGTCTCAAAAGTGGTTATGGAGTATATCATTTAAAGACATGAGACTTTTTTTTTCTTTTTTTTTCTTTTTTTTTTGCAGATATTGAAAACACAAATGCGCGTCATAATTTTGGGTAATACGTGTATTTTCCATTCACTGACTAGCTTACTGTGTTTTGTTTGCTATTAATCCTCCCTCCCCAAACTGAGTTAAGACTGAAGTGCTAAAGGTGAATAAAAAATATATATATTACCATCTTCAATCTCAAATCCCATATCTTTAAGCTCGGCAACTATCTGTGTCTTGAGTTCTTGGAATCCTTCAGCGGTATCATCAGATTTGATCTCAAAGCCATTTTGTTTCATTTCTTCGAGGAATCCCTTCATGAATTTTTCTTTGACTTGTTCCTCGGTATCGTCTTCCTCAGCCCCGGCGAACTCACGCATCTGTCTACGTAATTCTTCGTTCAATTTTTCACGATCATCTGAATAAGATTAAACAAAGTATTTTACCTCAAAAAGAGTAAAAAACTTTTTTTTAAAGTAATAGCTTGTTGGTTTTATTTTATTTATATATTTTTTATGTTTAAAATGTCAATCATATATAAATTTGTAATGTGATGAGAATGATAACTTGTTTGTTTGTTTTTATCCATTTTTGAAATCAATATTTATTTATCAATTTATTGCAATTTTTGTAAATACTTAGGCGTTTTTGTGATGTATGGTTTAAAAGTTGATGTCACGTGATTATTATTCAGTTATTGTGCACTCACCAGTATCGATTCCTTCAGCTTTAAGTTTGTCACCGAACATTTCTGTAATTTCTGGTAACATCTGGGACATCAGACCTGTTACTCCACCTAAAATATAAAGACACCGATTGCTTTATACATTTTTAGGGTTTAACACTCAAATTGGCATAGCAATGGACTCATTTTTTATAATAATCTTTGGTCTAATTTGTTTTTATAGTTTCTGCCTTTATTAGCAGTTTCAACCTTTCTTTTTTACAATATTTGCGAAAACACAAAATATTATCAAAATGAAGTTTTTCCATTTTATAGGCAATTCATAAAAAAAAATGATGATTATCAAAAAATTGGTCCATTTTATCAAGCCGGATGCCTAATCATTGATATTGACAGCAATTGATCCTTTACATAGATTTGACCTTACGCTATATATGTATCTGACTAGGGTGGAAATAGGCTACATAACTTTTGAAGAATATAAGGAAACGATGAAACGACTAATTGCTCTCATATTGTTAACCACTCTCGACTACTCTGTCTCTGTCTTTACCTGATAAGTCAATACTAGCGTCACTCCCCCCGTCCCCCACCCATTTACACACACATGCACATGCACACACCAAAATGTCTTTATCCACATCTACTAGTCAATACAAGTTTAATCACGCATTTCAAATCCTTCCGAACCACTTTATCTATGTGCTCACCTAGTACTAGTATGTCAATAACAGCTTCCCTCGAATAAATCCCCCACCCCTTCACCTATCTTTTAATGGCTGTCCATACCTGACAAGTCAATACCAGCTTCTTCAAGTTCTTTTCTTTTTTCTTCCTTTATTTGATTAAGTTCGTTTGACATCTGGTTTTTCATTTCTTCTTTACTTTGGTCAACAAGATCTCCTAGAGTAAATGAAATAAAAATAAATAAAACTTTGAAAGCCCAACAAACAAGAATGGATTAGCCAGTATTTAGTTTTTAATCTTATTTTTTTTGTGTACTTTTTGTTGATTGCTGTTTGGCTTTTGATGTTTTTCTGTTGGCATTAGAGCTGTTTGTTTTTCTCTTGGTATTGGAGCTTTTTGTTTTTCTGTTGGCATTAGAGCTGTTTGTTTTTCTTTGTTTTTTGCTTTTTATTGTATCCTTGATATATCCTTGTCATTCGTGTTATTAATTTATCGGGTGTGGCTTACACATCTACCTACTTAGAACGATCCTTTAAAATGTCTTGAAAGCGTGATAGTAAATCGTCATAAAAATGTCGAAGTTACACGGAACAATTGGGCAGTCAATCCGTGTTGCCTTACAACGAATAGAATGTCTTAAATTAAACAAAAAACAACAAATGATAAGATTGTCGTGTGCAAAACAAAGAATCCCTTTTGGCCACTCCGACTCACCAACTCATGTGGAATTGATTTATTAATATCTTTAAACAAAAACAATAGATTTGATCTAAATTCTTACCCATTTTGTCTTTAGCCTGGTCGATCATGGCGGCAACATCCATATCCTCTGGCATGTTTTTGATTGCATCTTTAATCTGATCTTCAGAGATTCCTAAAACAATAACATGTGTTATATATAGTTTGGAGAAACTACACCAATCAAGAGGACAGTTTATGAATGCTTGCTGATTTTCCCCTCTTCGTTTTGAAAGTGTCACGTATACTAAACGAAGAATGATATACTGTATGTAAAGGTAGTAAACCAACCAATTAAAATATCTTAAGTCAGGGGTATGAAAACACATAAAGGGGATAGAGACAGGCGGTCTTCAGAGCGAGGCCGGTACTACGGCAAGGTAGGCATTTTCTGCTGACGTCATTCTGTTCTGAGAGTTATATCTGGTAGCATGTATCCAAGAAAGACATGCGAAAACCAACAATGATGTTATAAGTGTTCTGTCTCTAGTAAGTTGAGAAATTGAGACTTCTTAATATTCAACATGATGGCGTCGTAAAACCTGTGATGTTATTGTTTACGGTTCAATTTTTACAGTTTGAATAATGTTTCAGTAAATCATTCATGCTCGTATCAAGTAACCCGTAAAGACTTACCCATTCCTTTCATCATGTCAGCCATTCCTGGTGGCATGTTTTTCATGGCTTCTTTGATATCCTCTGGTTTCATGTTCTTAATCATATCGAATGTACCTTCTGGAATCATGCTTTCAATGTTTTTCAGGTCAAGACCACCGAATCCACCCATCCCCATCATTGGGACTGTCAAAAGAAAGTAAGACAAATTATTAACATAAATTTAACAGAGGGAACGTTTCAGAAAGATTGATAAGTTTTCATTCAAAGTATTTTTGTTGTTGTAAAACATACATTTTCAGGAGAATATATAGTCTTTCATCCTAAATATGTTTTTGTAAATCATACAAAAATTCTATAACATATTTTTACTCTGGAAATTTATACTTTACTTGTAACATACTCTTACAAAGGATTTCTGTTTGTAGCCAAAATTTTAAAAAGAAATGTTGGCTAAACGTCAATGAGACAGCTATTTAAAACAACTCAATTACAAAAAAAAAAAAAAAAACAGAATGAAAAAAAACACATTTAAAAAAAATAAATCTATAATACAAGAAAACTAAGAATGTTTTACTTACATTGGGCCATGGCGCATGCGGCCAACATGCCTACGACTACTATTTTTATCATCATTCTGAAAGACAAAATCAGATATTACTAATACACTGTGAATAGTTTTTTGTTTTTGTTTTTTTGTTTTTTTTATAATGTTTATTTAACTGTATCGATTCCCTTTTTCCTTTTATCAGTAATTTCAATTTTAACAAGAAAATTTATTGATCGTTCTTACATTTTTCTCATGAAAGTATTCAACTAAATTTTTTAAAATGAGATATATATGTCTTATTTACATTTTTATCAAAAACGGATTATCTAAGTATATTTTTGAAAATGTTCATGTATATGTATGTTTGAAATTTAACCGAATCTTAAGTAGATTTCTCGTAGAATAAAATGATACCGATATTTAAAAATGAATAAATAAAACCCCAACTACTTACTTGAGTTGTTTTTGACTTTATGTGACGACATTGGAACATATCAGGCCTTATATACACCCCTCTGTAGATATCGTGTCATTCTTTACAACGTCCGCGTATTGCATTGTATTATCTAACATAGCCGTCGGTACTGCACATTATATACGTGTTTTTTACAAGATATGCACCGTCGCATTTATAATACAGACAAGTTATCAAATTTATTAATTTGCTTTTTATTTTATTTTTGTCTTTATATTGTTATTTATTTTCAAAATATACCTCTTATAGTCATTCTTATTGTATATAAATAGAAAAATATCTTCTAAATATCCATAGAGAATTTAAAAAAAAAATTAAAAGTTATTTTTTGAACCAATCGTTTAGTAATTGTTTTAAATACGAACACATGTAATTCTATAGATTTAATGCCAAGCGGTTATGAGACATAACGATACAGACAGACTCTGGATTAGGCAAAAATCAATGTTTAATTCAATCTGATAATTTTCGAGTATAATCGATATGTATCCTGAGGGAATCGAATTCTGAAACTGTATGTCCATACTCGTGCAATTTGTTAAAACGAAATGTGTATTAGAAGAACAAATATCAAATGTGAATTGACGGATTTTTTGTTCTGTTTTAAAAATTGATTTTCACATTTTTAGTGAAATTTTGAGTTGTCAAATTCACTTTTAAGCATTTTCCAAAATTCATGTGATGTTCACATATTTTGAAATTCATAATCAGTATAATTAATGTAAAAATAAGGTCCACATTGCTGAATTAGCTATATAATTATATGTATATTATTGATATTAACTTGACTTGTTTAGAACTTTTTTCATGTATTGTATGTTTCTTGTGTACATGTCTGTTATGTTTGCATTTTTATCCGTCAGGGTTTTACTTTTTGCAATAAAGTTTGTATTTTTTTCATTTATGTTTTTTAACTACATGACAGGTAAGCTCAGTGGACGACATTTTGTTGTGTAGGATGTATGTACCTTCATATTAATTATAAGATGGTTCATGAGTTATATGAATACAATGAGTTGTGGGGTGTACGTCCATAAGACAGTAACCCAACCACACAAACAAATCTAAATACACTGGATAAAACCACGTGTAAGCTCTATATCCCTTTCATTGAAATATGAAACGTCATTGCAAACAGGGACATATCAAACAAATTCAGAAATATACACTGCATAAGAATGAGCCAACGGAACATCATCATCAAGGAAAGGAAAATAAACAATAGGAAAGTAAAATTATTCTCGTTTGCCGTATATTTTTGTATTAAGATTGTCATGGTATATTCTGATATCAATGGCGAAATATTGTGCCTTTTAGTGTTTTTAACAAAATATATTAAAAGGGCGTGTTATTTTATAGTTAGCGTTATACATAGTTTGCGCCCAAAAAAAAAGATTTGAAAATTACCAATGGTTTAGAAGTTTGGCTGTACCTGGAGAAATGTAATTACAAACAGAATAACACATCGCTATGATCATGTTATTTTGATATTCTTTTTATTATAGATATATTTTAAATGAGAAAGCAATGCATTTTATTTTTTATACATCGTTATTGAGAATACAGGAAAATAACTGAAGACTACCGAATGGAATAACATGAGAAAATGTCACACATAATGATGATCATTCTAATATTTGTGATGTGATCTGTCATAAAGAATTGTCAGATGTTTATGGTACAATAATGGTGTAAAACTGTAAGATGATTTATATTTATGCGCATGTGCACCATATTTACAGTTGTTTTCAGTATCTTTATTTCTAATCCAAGTTTTCAATTTCTACAACAAACTGAGAAATATACCCTGTGTCAACACTTCGCTGAAAGTCGTGGACATAGGAGAATCTCTTTTATACTCAGATTGTGTTACAAAATAAATCGCCAAATTTAGTTGATCAAATCAGATGCATTAGTTATTTCTTGATTTATGCAATACTCTCACAATATATTGAAAACAAATAAGTTTTAGAAGAAAAAATGTCAAAATATGAAATATAATTTTGAATGAGTATTGATAATATAATATTTGAAGATAGAACTGACAACTTGGTCAGTTCCTTCCGTTTACATGTACAAGTTAAAGTTTTCATTAACTGTTAATCGATCAGTACTAGGTTGTAATTATATCAAGTTGCCTTTAGCTATAAGTATACTTCCTGTACATGTTATGTCTTAATTTGTACTTCCTTAAAAACCAAAAAAATAGTATATAAAAGTGTGAATACATCTATGATAGAAGTTTCGTTTCAGAATAAGTCAATTTCACATTATTACCACGTACCTTAGCCATGTTAGCCTTATTGGAGAAATTGCAGTTACCATTCAATATGAATTAAATCTCCAACATTCTACAGATACTTCAAATATATTTTATTTAATAAAGTACATTGTAAAACACTAAGTAAAAATGATAGCGAATCCAATGGACGTCTGAAATAAAAGACAGCTTTATATTATGCATAAAGAAATTATCGATATAGATAAATCTAAATATTTAAATATATATCATTTATGAATACAGATACGGCTGTTGTATGTGCTGAGAAAAAAATAATTATTCCTGACATAAACAAATTCACAAATAAAGTATACAGAATAATATGTATCGAATATAATCAAGGGTATGAATATCGTTTTGTTTCTTTTCAAAAGTTTTATGGATTCTTCAAACGTTTTATAGACGCTATGAATTGGCTGATCATCATGGAATATCTGTGCCACAGAAAACTATGGATCTGCTCGATTTGTCGTAACCATATGTGTAGAACATTTAAAAGTACAAACACAAGTTCTTTGTTTTCGGTTTGTAGGTGCGTGTAGGGGCTTTGTTTCATGAATAAATACACCAAGTCCTTCCTTCTCCGTTAAATAAGGAGTGGATAGGGGGTCCCTGATTCCCATTTTCCTACCCTAACTCCCACTTTTATCCCCTTTACTCACACTTCCTTCCCCCTTACTTCCTGGCGAAAATCTGTCAACCCCCCCCCTCCCCAGAATATCCCTATTTTTACTCCCCCCCTCTTCCCCCAGTTTCCGCCCTGGCTCCCCCTTCCATCCCCTGACTCCCGTTTCCCGTCCCCTCATTCCCATGTTCCCTTACCCCTGTCCACCCCTATGAGGCCTGAAATGTATAGATATTTTTATTGTATGATGTTTGTTACTTTTATTAAACACACTTGTGATGAGTACCACGATCACAGCATTATTGGTGTGAAACCGTCTGACAGTTTTTAAAGAATACTTGCATGCGTTGTTGTTGACAATTAGTTGATTCAGCATGGTCACACGGGATTTTGAAGCTCTTGGAGCAAAGTTTTTTTTTCAATTATTAAATAAGACTTCGTGGCATGCACGTCAAAAAGATAAACAAAGTATTGAGAATCGCAATATTTCTGATTATTCTGTTATTTTGACTTGCATGTCCTTTTGTGATAATAAATTCATTGCACTCATCATTTAGTAATAAATACGTCATCTGGTAAAGTTTTCAGTTGGCGTAATTTGAGTTGGAGTTATTTAATTTGACTGCCATGATGGAGGGCAAACTGGTTGATTTTCTCGTTTGACCAAATATACATTTGTGGTTCAAGTAAATCTGATCAGAATCTTTACTATTCTTGGCGCTTAAATATGAAGTGCATATCTACCAGCTGATACAATATTCCAGGGCTTACATTTCCAATCATGATTCCCTTGAGAAGCTGCTTACAACAGAGCTAATAAGCCTAGAGTTCCAAGTGTTGAAGTTCAAGTCATTCCTTTGAAAATTTTACGGACCTCATCCCGAGTTGGTTGACCGTTTTGGAATATTTGTTTCACATGCAGATGACGACATTTATGTTCGTCGTAACCTTGGGATCATCTTTTTCTCGAATGTGACTTACCGACTTATTACTGGGTGTGTTCTTGTATGAGCACCCCACCCCCCTTCCGGTATTTTAGTGTAGTTCGTGCTGATCAGTCTTTAGTTTTCTATTTTGGGTTTAGTAGACTGTAGTTTGTCATTTGGTCATTTTTCGATTTTTGCCATGGCGTTGTCAGTTTGTTTTCGACTTATGAGTTTGACTATCTCTTTGGTATCCTCCGCATCTCTTTTACTAGATCGTAGTGGTGAATTATACAAGGCTTAACAAAAAAAATGGTCAGAAAAAAAAAGTTTTTTCGAAAGTGTAGATTTAAATTTAACAAATTAAATTAGGCTGAAGATAGCCGCTCCGTTTTCTCATCTGGTCTTGACGTTTTAACAATTTGATTTGAAAAAAAATCGCCATTTTTTAACCTTTATTTTTTTTGTGTTTTTGAGATTTTCAAGGTTTTTTTTTACCTTAAGACCTTTTGGAGAGTTCTTTATTTTGAGTCCATCGGCAGTAAATCTACTGTTTTTATTCTATAGTTATGCAAAACATACATATAAGCCCTGTAGAGCTTGCTATGCGGTATGAGTTTTTGCCCATTATTGAAGGCCATACGTTGACCTATATAACATCTACATCATTTTAACTCTGTTGGGTATTTGTCTCATTGGCAATCACACCACAAATCCTTATTTTATACAGATAATTACTCCTGTGTGATAGGTACACTAAGTGAGTTTCAGGTCAAATATTTCATTGATAAAAAGATAATGTTACAATGGTAACTTATTACAACTCCTCTCTTAAACCAGATCTCAAATGGAATAGACTTATATTGTCTTTCTAAACATTTTTCCCACAGCTTTGTCCTCTGTTTGAAAATAAATATCTTTTATATAATAACAGTCCACCATCAGTGGATCTAATTGGTTTTTAATGAGTCTACAGTGAAACATACACAAACGAAGATTTTAATGGATACATAACATCATTTAAAAGAAAGAAAGACAACTGTACTGGTTTGACAGTAATGTTTTGTAATCCGATGTTTATTGGTATCACAACAAAGCATACAGTGGAACACAGATTCTGGAACAACAGCAGTTTATATCACGCATTTAATGATGATGTCTACACCCAAGGACTCTCAGAGCGAATGGGCTTCTGGCAAATGGTGGCATGGCGTGGAACTGGGAGGCAGCTAATTTCTCTTCAAGGATTCTGTTCTGGGCAATAAGAACACGGGCCTCTAGACGGCTGAAATATAACAACGTTTATATCAATTGTGGTTTCAAGGTTTCCAAATTTTGTAATTCAAAGGATGATTGCTTCCATTTATTCAGTTACTTTTTTTTATTTATATGCTAAAAATCATTAAGATTGTCAATCAAAGCCGTAAATCGTTGGTGAGTTATGTACTTTTTATGTGTTGGTATTGAATATAAGCATGCTTTTGTTAGTTGTTTCTGACTTCTTTGAACAAGACCGCTTTTTTTTACATTAAAGTTCTGAAATAGTGGCAATGTCAAAAAATGTAAAAAAACAGCCCCTTGCATTGACAAAAATACTGAAATTAAAACGAAAACAAGGTGATTTCTTGTTCAGTTCCCTCCCTTGATTCATACATAATGAAAGGTTCGCTTTGCATGCACCACCCTGATACATATATTTGTGCAGACATTTCGGAGCACATGCAGGCCAGTCTATGCTTGTTGCTAAAAGGTTTACATTATGTTCCAAAAATATTCCCTTTATTATAGATATATAATAGGTATACATACTAGTGCATAAGGTCTTTCATGAGTCTGAAGAGGGCTTGTTCTGGGAGGACACCTCTCATTGCTCCAGCTTTGATTTCCATTAGATTTTGAATAACCTCATCATCATCTCCGAATACGTGAACCAAAGCATCTTCGGCTCCTATTTAAAGTGTAAACAAATATTTTGTTTTTGAGATTTCGCAAATAACAGTTCTAACCAAACACATTTAAGGTGGTACCTAACACTACAGGGAGATAACTCTGTAAAAATCAATTAAACGTTTTAATTACGTTGTATTGTTAAGGAAATATTAAGCTTCTCAGTGATCAAAATTAGTGTTTGTCAAACTGCTATATAACCAGCGAAATTTTTCTGATAAAGTGGTTGGTTCAAATTTTTTGAAATTTTTATATTTCTGTCAAAGGGTCAAAGTAAACATTTTGTCAAAATTTTATGAAAATTAAACGAGCCAAATTAATATTAGTCAAGGTGTTGGGTACCACCTTAAACGAGGTCTCTGATTGCAAGCTTTTACACATAGTAATGGAAATTTATTTCGGTTTTTCATTATAAATCCAGGTTCAACATACTAATTCTTTCGTTCAAAGCGCTTCTCTAGACCAACCTACGTTTTAATGCCCAGTGAATATTCAGAACTAAAGACTGGAAAGTCAAAGGTGTAAAATTTCAGCAGACTTGAACATATATTTAAACCGGTCTAACAGTTAATACATTTTATGTTAACAAAATAAATATGTATTTTGTCACTTTTCGACTTTTTCGAACGGCTTTCTAATATTTGTAAGACATAATTAGAAAACTTGGTATTTAATATTAATTATTTAATATTACCTTCAACGTATGAGTTTAGTGGCTGCATTCTGTATCCTGTAAAATAGAATTAACATATCAATAACTGCAGCAGAAAATGTGAAGCTGTTTCAATGGCTCATACAGCTCATGTTATGTCATTTCTTTCTATTGTAAACTTTGTAACTTGTAACTTGTATAATTTGACAATATAAGTTTTAGAAGCATTGCCCTATACGGTACAGCAGAACTAAATAATAGAAAGTATATATCTATTATAATACAGGTCTAGAATATTTACAGGGACATAATTGTTTTGATATGAATAAACTACTAACTACCTCCTTGTGGATGTGGCATTTCTTGTGGCATCATCATTGGTGGTGGCATTGGACCTCCATGGGGAATTTCTCCACCTAAAAAGATGTGTAAATGAAACAGTAACTGAAAGATATAGTTTTGGCCAATTATAACTATTAAATAAAGCATTAGCCCCCAAACCAGCTACTAGTATACTCGCTACACCAATTTAGGTGAAATTGATTTAGTAATATAAAAATGAGGGGATGTGGTATGATTGTAAATGAGACAACTATCAAACGAAGTTGACGTAATTAATTATAGGCAATCGTACGGCCTTAAACAATGAGAAAAACCTATACAGTATAGTCGGCTATAAAAATGTGAAACAATTCAAACAAGAAAACAAATTACCTATTTTAAAACAAAACAATTTACGAAAAACAAATATAACAGACACAAACTAACGACAATCCCTAATATAATGATACTTACTGCTGAAAGTAGCCATGACTGACGTAATGATACTTCATGCTGAAAGACGCCATACCTGATGTACTGATACTTACTGCTGAAAGCCATGACTGATGTAATGATACTAACTGCTGAAAGTAGCCATGACTGATGTAATGATACTTACCGCTGAAAGTAACCTTGACTGATGTAATGATACTAACTGCTGAAAGTAGCCTTGACTGACGTAATGATACTTACTGATGAAAGCCATGACTGATGTAATGATACTTACTGCTGAAAGCGATGACTGATGTAATGATACTTACTGCTGAAAGCCATGACTGATGTAATGATACTTACTGCTGAAAGTAGCCATGACTGATGTGATGATTCTTACTGCTGAAAGTAGCCTTGACTGATGTAATGATACTTACTGCTGAAAGTAGCCATGACTGGTGTGATGATACTTACTGCTGAAAGTAGCCTTGACTGATGTAATGATACTTACTGCTGAAAGTAGCCATGACTGATGTAATGATACTTACTGCTGAAAGTAGCCATGGCTGATGTAATGATACTTACTGCTGAAAGCCATGACTGATGTAATGATACTTGCTTCTGAAAGAAGCCTTGACTGATGTAAAAATACTAATTGCTGAAAGAAGCCATGAGTGATGTAATGATACTTACTGCAAAAAGTAGCCATGACTGATGTGATGATACTTACTGCTGAAAGTAGCCTTGACTGATGTAATGATACTTACTGCTGAAAGTAGCCTTGACTGATGTAATGATACTTACTGCTGAAAGTAGCCATGGCAGACATCATCAAATGCATTGGATTTCCTTTAAAAGAAAACAACTGAAGTCTATATATAGAAATAAGAAGAGGTTGTATGATTTCTCATGAGAGAACTATCCCTCATAATCTAAATGACGTGGATGCTAGTGACTACATGTCACAGTACGTCCTTCAACAATTAGCAAATACCATATCGTACAGCCTACTATAAAAGCCCTGCCATGACAAATTTTGAAACAATTCAAACGAGGATTTGATTTTGATTTTTTGTGTTTTAACGCCACTTTTAAGCACCGCTTTTGGGCTATTTCGTGGCGGCCAGATTTTATTGGTGGGGGAAGCCGGAGTGCCCGGAGAAAACCACCGACTTTCGGTAGGAAAACTGACAATCCTAGTCAATAAAGATTGAAGTCGAGTGCACCCGCACGAGCGGGGTTCGAACTCACAACCTCAGTGTTGACTGGCTAGTGATTACAGTAGTAACTACTTAGACCACTCGGCCACTGAGGCCCCTTCAAACGAGGAAGGCAACAGTCTGATTTATAACAAAACAATGAATGAAAAACAAATATGACAGATATGAACCAACGACAACCACAGAATTGCAGACTCGGGGAGGCAAATTCAAAATGTGGCGAAGTTAAATGTATATGCGGGCCCCCAACCCTCCCTAACCTGGGACATTGATGTAAAAGTACAACTTTATAAGAACAAACTATAAAAATCAGTTTAAAATAGCTAAACTCGATAGATTGGTATGAATTACAAAAATCAACTAACATAAAACACAAGACATATTAGCATTGATCTAAGAGTACTCGCAGTTACTGAAAGATAAAGCTTAAGCTTCTGCCAAACAATCTAAGCATTGAAATATAATTGATATAATGTGTGGTAAATAGGTTTTACAAATTTATCAATCTATTTATTGAAAATTTGAGAGAAAAAAATCTGTTTCCGTTAATTTTTGTTATTTATTGAATGAGAGATATCTACATGAAACAGCTTATTCCATAATTTACAGCTTATTCCATAATTTGCAGCTTACCCAGTTTGCCAGTGGCGATAATTTTCTGTAAAACTGCTTTGAAATCATTGGCGTTAAGGTCTTCTGAAAGTCAAATGTAACATATTAACAGACAGAATAAATAAGTAACTAGCTTAACTTCTTCTGAAAGTCAAATGTAACATATTAACAGACGGAATGAATAAGTAACTAGCTTAACTTCTTCTGAAAGTCAAATGTAACATATAAACAGACGGAATGAACAAGTAATTAGCTTAACTTGCAGGATAGTTTTTTTTTAACAATATCTTAATGTTCTCTATTCTAAAATTTATTTATATCAATGAAGGAATTTATAACTTAAAACTTTAAATTGGTGCGTTGTATATACAGTATACGTAAAATGTAGGATTTACGAGGTTTAATATGTTTATTTTTTGTACCGAGTTGAAAAAAAAGTATTTCCGACATTGTAGGCATTTTTGTTATCCTGCTAAATAAGTAATCGATCTCTGCTTCGTGCAAAATGTAACCATCGTAGACCGGTGGATATACCGACTGAATTATTCGGGTTTAATAAATCGCTATTTCCTTGACTATATTACCGCGAAGAAGACACCAAAATTAATCTGTGGCAGAAACTGTTCCAGTGTAGCTTAAGTTTTGCTATGTTTGCTGTTCGTTAACATCCATACACTCAGTCTCGTTCTCGTTCGTGTATTGTCGACAAGTGCCGATGTTTCGTTCCCTTCCCACCATCCTTTTATTTGATTTGATTTCCAGTTTATACAAGGATTTTTTATATCTTTTGTGGAGTTATTTAAGTGAAGTTCGTTTGTTACATATGTTTTTTTAGATTGAACTAATATCTCCAACTAGGTATTTATATAATGGATATATCAAAATAAGATGTGGTATAATTGCCAATGAGACAACTCTCCACTAGAGACCAAATGACATAGAAGTTAACAGCTATAGGTCACAGTACGGTCTCTTCAGTTTCTGTAATTTTTACTGCTTATTACATTTGGTATTATCAATAACATATGCATTGATTGATTGCCTGCGTCGTTTGCACAACTTTTGGAAATGTTCGTTTTTTTATTCTATGCAACAGCGTATTTAATTTGGCCTTTTACTTGTTTTGATTTAAGCGCCACTGTTGAGTCTTGTATTGACAAAACGAGCATCTCAAGTATCAAATTATAATAATCCTCAGGTCTCCATGTCTTTGTTATTTATTGTCTTATATTGCAACCAATATTGTTTTTTTTTATAGATATATAACTCACCCTCGTCAATTTCAATGTCCATGGATTTCAGTTGGCTTTTCAATTCTGTTTTCAATTTCTCCATTGCCTCTTGTGGTTTTTCTGAATGGATTATAAAAGGTCTTTATCTACGATACTATTACAAGATGGATTGTGAAATTTTTAATATTTTACATCTAGACGGACTTTCAAGTTTCCTCTAAATTATTTTAATCTCAAAATGTCTGCTGTCTATATCTTATTAAGTAAAACACAAATATACAAGGTGACATGTCCTAAACGTCAAATAGACAGCATTCCAACAACATTAAGTAAACATCAATTAGTAAACAATAATTACACAAGAAAACAATAACTATACCTGGGTCGACATCATGGCCATTTTCTTTCATTTGCTCGAGCAGATCCTTAGCGACTTTGATCTTAACTTCTTCGTCACTCTCATCAGCTATCGATATAAAGAAAAGAGTTAGGTTAATTACCGTCTAATACCCACCCGTGTTTACACAGAAAACAATGCAATTGTAGAGTATTATTTTCATGACAGTACCTTAGTACTTGAATAGGCAAAAACCTAGAAATTGGAATAAAAATTTAATTTGACAAAATGATTACGAAATAACAGTCAATGAAATAATCCTTTTTTTTTTTTTTTTTTGAGTGGCAAAACATAATTTATGTTGTTTTTTTAAACATCCACTAGCAAATATTTCATGCTTATTCAGGACGAGGTTAATTTAAAAAAATAGGAAACTAACGTGATGCGTTGGTGATTTTTCTCATCTCAGCCATCATCTTGGCTTGCATACCTTCTGGGTCGTCTGAAAAGAAAAAAAATAACAAAATGATCAATGAACAAAATAAGAAACGGGACAAAATTTATGTTTGTCGTTTCAGACTTGGTTGAGGAAACACGTGCACAGACTGTGAGACTGCGCACCTATACGAATTCATATAGATCTAAAATAGATTTAAATTGTCTCAAACTTGATTTTTTATTCTCAATAAGGAGATAAATAACTGAAAAGATTTTCCTGAAGCAAAGAATTGAATATTAAACATTTGCTCAACATTGTTCAATATTTTCTACATGACCCCCATATGTCGTCTTAACCTTAACATGACTCTCAAATCCCACAATATCCAACAGAGACGACGTTCTGCCATCGGGTGGCTTGTAATTTAAGTCCTAGCTTTCTTCATTATTTACATAGATCAAATCATTTTCCGTCGGGTGGCCTGTGATTTCAGTCAGTTTTTTTGTGGTGGCAGTCTTGGCTTTCTCTATTTCTTACATAAACCAATCTTGTGATGGCGGTCTTGGCTTTCTCTATTTCTTTCATGAATCAATCCCGTCATCCTTCAGTTGTTTTGTGATGGCGGTCCTGGCTTTTTCCATTTCTTTCCTAAATCAATCCCTTCACCATTCAGTTGTTTTGTAATGGGGGTCTTAGCTTTCTCAATTTTTTCCTAGATCAATCCTGTCACCCTTCAGTTATAAAGAGATGGCGGTCTTGGCTTTATCAATTTCTTTCCTAAATCTATCTGGTCATCCTTCAATTGTTTTGTGGTGGCGGTCTTGACTTTCTACAGTACTTTCCTAAATCAATCTGGTCATCCTTCAATTGTTTTGTAGTGGCGGTCTTGACTTTCTACAGTACTTACCTAAATCAATCTGGTCATCCTTCAATTGTTTTGTAGTGGCGGTCTTGACTTTCTACAGTACTTACCTAAATCAATCTGGTCATCCTTCAATTGTTTTGTGGTGGCGGTCTTGACTTTCTACAGTACTTACCCAAATCAATCTGGTCATCCTTCAATTGTTTTGGGATTGCAGACTTTTCTCTATTACTTACTTAAATCAAATCCATCCTCTTTCAGTTGGTTTGCGATGGCAGACTTGGCTTTCTCCATTACTGATGACATGTCTTCATCCTCTATTTAATACAAATGACATTATATGTACAAATTCATTATATTGTACTGAGGTGTACCATTCTTAGCTATTTTTGTGCTTTATGACATAGTGAATTATAGTTCCTACATCATAAATAAAAAATACACTTTATAAATTCTATTCGTCCGAAGCTTTTCTGGATTTAGCTTCACCAGGAACGATCAAAGCCAAATATTGAAAGCCAATGATGTATAAGTACCGAAACACATAAAGAACTATATGACCAAAGGGGACCTAACAATAATATTCAAATCCATCTAAGGTCATCTTTCCAAGAGGGGGTTAATATATATGATCATATATGAGTGTTGCCAACGTTGTAAAGATAAAGATTTCCAATAGTTTTACTTATAAGATTAATCAAAGGAAGCAAACACCGGAATAATTGACAAGAATAGGGTTAAAAAAAAGAAAGAAAAAAAAACATGAATACGTATAACTAAGACTATGATCGATAGAATCTCTCAAATTATAAAATATATTAACATTCATGAAGATGGACAGGTACGACTGACAAAACCGGAAGTGATGTCAGATGAATGCAGCCTCGGATTCTAGATTTTTGGTAATGTTTATATGCAAGAACTGAACGCCCCTGGAATGCATTAAATCACCAGCTAATTCGTCAGACCTTTATAATGCAATACCTTGTACATAATATTTTCTCGTCAAGTATTTTAACCACACAAGTATTTATAATGTATATTAACCAAGTACTTATAATATATGTTAACGAAGTATTTATAATGTATATTAACCAAGTACTTAAAATATTTGTTAACGAAGTATTTATAATGTATATTAACCTTTTATGTCCATGCCCATTTCTTGCATTCTTCCCTTTAGAATACCGAGTGCTGACTCTTTCATATTTGCTTGCATTTCTTCTGGAACTGCAATATATGTTTTCATGAGATTGTTTATTAATTATGCCTATACAGAAAACGAGTGTATTTTTTTTCTTAAAGTTCAGTGGAAATCTAACGTAGAACGCATCAGTTTCATAATTGCAAGCCTTTATTTTGGTCTCGAGATAGGTGATAAAAGATAGTATGAAAAAGCATATTATTCCTAATACAACCTGTCAACATAGCATGTGACGTAAGAGATCTCATCTCACCTGTCGTTGGTTAATAGAGATCTTACTTGTCACATGTTACCATGCAGAGACCAGTTGATAAGAGATGTATTGTTAGACTAAACTTCATTTGTTTTATTACGTTGCAATACGTAAGTTAGTAGATTTTATTTAAAGTCGACATATTTGTGCACAATAACAATAAAAAAAATGAGCTCTGGTGACCTCTCTAACCGACTATGTATCGTTGCTGTGTCACGTACCCACGTCTCATTTTATTCATACAAGTTCATCATTTATATTTCTTTATTTTTTTTCTTATTCCACAAGTGTGGACACATATTTGTGTGGTCTGAAGAGCGAATTTTTCTATTCAACAAACTGAGTTTGGACTTAAGTGTCGACAAAATAATATTGTATTGTGGAAATAATAACATGAACATTACAAATATAACAGTTTTATTATGATTGGAACAAGTCAGGCGGCTAGTGACTTATCACTTATACCACTTCCTCTTGATGAGATACGTACGTTCAACTTTTGCCATGACCTTTTCCACTTCCTCTGGATGATTTTCTGAAATAAAATAAACGTCATTGTGAAAGTTTTAAATTTTTAAAAATCTGTTACATATTTAAAAGATATCACAAAATATGAAAAAAAAACATGCACTTTCATTTTCAAGACAGAATGTAGTATGCCAACTTTTTAAAGTTCTGTTTAAAATTTCACATGATACATGTGTAATGCAATTGTTCTCAATTTCAAACCTAAAACGTTTTCACTCTTTGTTGGTTTGTTTTTTGTTTTGTTTTGTTTTGATGTTTATGTTTGTGTTTGTTTTTTTGTTTTTTATTTGTTGATTCATTTACTTACTTGCTATTGTGTTTGTATGTTTGTTTTGTTTTGTTTTTCTTTGTGTTGTTTCTTGGTTTACCTGTTAGTTATATTTATTTTGTAATATGGTTTTGATATTACGTGTGATACGAACGACGCTTCTCTACACTTTTCTTTAGAAGTTATTACCTAGTTTTTCTTTCATTTGTTCTACAAGAGGAGTTAAATCTTCTGGAAGGCTCTTGACGGCTTCATTTATTTGATCTTCAGAGATTCCTGAAATAAAAAAAAAACTCAAATACTAGTACATTGAATCACTATGTCTGTATTTATTTATAGTACATTCCAGACTTCTTGTCATTGTCAAGATGGATCATCCTTGCTTAAAAAGTTGGTGCATTCGACCCAACAATTTATATTTCTACAAGATTTTTATTAAATGAAATAAATTTATTTTTTGTACTTTTGAACCTTTTTACAATTTGAACGGGCATTAGCTACGAGATATAAAAAAAATAATAAGATATGATCTTTTTACTTTAATCATTAATGATAGTGAAATAGTGAAATAACAATTCGCTTTTAGCAGCCAGTTTGGTTCAATTTGTCAAAATAAGCTAAGAAACATCGCTGATGAATTATTCACTTGCAAGTGAATAATTCGACCTTATTGAATACGTATTCATGTGACCTTCAATTTAACCCCTTAGCTAAACATGTGCTACGGCCTAGTACAAAGCAGGGTTAATATTCATTTTACATTAACATCTTCTCGTCCTGAATATGCATATTAATTTGCCGCTGGACGTTATGCAGCAATCCATCATCATCATCATAAACAAGGCGTGTTCAGCTATTAAAAGGAAAGAAATGTCAACATTGAAAGTGAAACAAGGGTAAACTATTTGGTTGACTGATTCGATCCACAAAAACTCATTCTTATACAGGTAAAAACGATGATTAATATATTTTTTAACCTTTAATACGAAATCAAACAGACCTAGCAAAATGAGTCCAATTGCAACGTGTTCGCTATCTATTTATGGGAAAAAGAAAGGGGAGTGTTAAAATGCATTAAATGAGAATAAAAAAGAGGAAGTTATAACGTACCCATCCCCTGCATCATGCTCTTCATTTGTGGTGGCATGTTTTTGATGGCTTCTTTGATATCATTTGGTTTAAGGTCCTTAAGCATGTCCAGAGCTTCAGCTGTAAATAGATAACCAATGTATCGATATCAGATGTGTGTATAATTCTTTTCATTTGTTTTGCGTCTCGTCAAATTTTCTAGCTACCAGCTAGACAGGAAGAAAAACTTAAAGCACAAGCGTATGAAACATGTCATACAGTTTGGTGTGGTATTTTAAACACTGATCAAAACCTTTCTAGTTCAATTATTTTATCTAGCAACATCACATAACTGTGAAATGTTATAAGTCCGATTGTATTCAAGTGTAACATTCGTGTGAGATTCTAAACCTACAGTTTAAATATCTATCGTGCATGCAATTGCTCAGCTATTTTTCTAATAAGGTATTGACAGAAACAAGAGAAATAAGACTAATTCTGCTTAGGAAACAGGCTTACAAAAGAAGTTATGCCTATTTCTTGGCCGGTCTTAATTTAAGTAAATATGATAGTTTACACTTAAATTAAACTTTAACAATTAAGGAAAGACAACTTACGTGGTAGCATACCACCCATCATCATGGGTGGCATCATCATAGGTGGCATCCCCATACCCATACCCATACCGCGCATAGGGGGAGCTACAACATAATCAATTTAATTATTTATACTTTATAAAACGTAATGCAATCAAATTATCAACACACAATATTGGATTTTCTTTACAAGTTATTTATATGAATAAAATTATATTAAAAAAAAATTACCTATCGTATAATTTGGGTGAGCCCTTATCGTCTATACACATTATATAACGGTAGTTCTTGTACTGAGCCGGGTTCCCATATGACGGACCTGTGTATGACATTATTGGTTTTATTGGTCTTATTAATGCGTGCATACATCAGAATGCCGTCCATAACAGACTATGCAGTATGAGTTTGCTCATTCTTTTAGGCCGTCCGGTGACCTATAGTTACTTACATACCCGTCTTCTTGTTTTGTACACATTGTACACCTACATACATTCAAATAGTGAAGACATAAGTGAAACACTATTACCGTCTACAGTGAAAAATATGCAATGTACGCTTTTTGTTATGTTAAGGTAGTTCAGGGGTATACCGCCATCTTGAATTGTACAATCACAGTAAATAATCGGTCTAGTTCTTTGCTCAAATCTGCAAATTTGGAGACAGATTTGCAATTTATTGGTTACACTGTTTATTTATATAAAGAAAACTTAGTTATTCATTGCATTATCGAAAATGTTTTAACAAATACCAAATGTTTGTGCTTTTAGACACCATTTTTTCTTTTTATTTAAGATTATAAAACCTATCTTCTCATATTTTATTTCAAAATTCTGTCTCATAGATTTCTTTTTATGCACAAAAATGTGTTTTTTCATGAACAATCTAAGCAAATTTCGGCAATTTTGAACGACTCGTACCTTGAAAAATAGCGCGGTGACCCATACTTTTTATCATTTTTTTTAAAAAAGCATAGTAAAATCTTCATTTTGGCAAAGTATAAGAAAATTCTGTCATTTTTTTTTCTATACCCCTGAACTACCTTAAGTGCGTGTAGTGATTTTTTTTTTATCATGGATTAATATACCATATACTTTATTTTTGCTTACCTGCATATGCCAATGCGGCCAAAAGACCGAGGATAACAATTTTCATCATATTCTGTAACAGACAAATAATAAACGTGTATACAAGCGGTATAATGAAATATCTTAACCTCAAAACCGGGGTGTGTTGCCATGCAAAGTCAAAATGAGAGATATCATCTGTATCCGACTCAGATATGGCAATAAAATATAATTCAAAATCATTCGCAAAATCATCAAAATACTTTATTTATCAACCGATAGAAATAAAATGACAATTAATTGTCAAATTTCTATTTAGGTACACTTTTCATTGTCAGGAAACCAGATTGTCAAGACTCGGGGCGGTCCGGTGCTTGAAATATTGTATAGAAGATCGTTTACTGACCTCTAAAAGTTATTACAGTGAAACCTGTCTAAAACGAATATTGCATAATCCAAGAACCTGTCTAAAGCAAACATGTCTGAAGTCCAGTCAAATCAAGTTTTTATGCGTTGTGAACCTGATTAAACCGAACATCTGCCAAAACCGAACAAAATCTTAAGTCCCAAAGAGGTTCGGTTTAGACAGTTATCACTGTACATTATTTTTTCGCCGGGTTGCTGTTTACTGACGTAAATTCCACATCTTCATTTATTCATATTCTTTCGTAAGTATATCTATACGCTTGTTTGGAACACACTATCCGAACTACTGGTATATAAATCAATATTTCTTTTTGAAACAAAAAAGGACGAAATTGGTCCTGATATATTTTCTTTTTACACATTTATCAATTATTAATTAAATTGGGTTATGCTACAATGCTGGGTGAGTTATACTAAAGAAATATTCAGTATATAATTTATAAAATCTATATTAATTTTAGTTGCTATACATAGTAAATATATTTCAAAAGTTTTACCTTTATCTAGAGAATTTAACATCCCGAACAGTATAAACTAAACAAAGTGACCTATAGTTGCTTAAATCCGCTTCAATTGGACTCTGTTGAATAGTTGTCTCATTGGCAATTATACTTCATCTCCTTATTTTATAAAGAAACAAAATCTTTAATATTCACCTGTTAGCTGTACCGAAATCAACTGTTTGCGCTTCTGTCGGCGGCAGGTGCTCGTCTTATATACCCTGAGTACCTATCACCATCCATCACCCAGGCCTACAATATGGTTGGTTGATTTATGATTACGTGTATTCCTCTGGTACCTCGATTCTACGAGGAAGATGGTAAATGCTAGCAGCAAACTTTGTAGTCACGAAAGTGGAATATGACACATCGAACTTGTTCCTTCATAATGTCTTATTTAACAATTATATTTATACACAGATATATAGATATATAGATATGTACATGGTTCATCATTTCTATATATGCATGGATGAAAATTAAACATGTTAATTAAACACGGTGAATTTTTTTTCTGCGTTTTAAGGATGTACTTAGGTGAAATTAAAAAAATCTAGAATTTAAAACTGATAGTATTAGTCAGAAGAGCATTAGTTAAGGAACAAAATAAGCTAAAAATATTGATAGGTCATGGAGCTCCTTTTCGAGATATTTATTTTTTTTTAAATGGCGGGAAAAGGCTGACTCGGACTTTTACCGTATATTTGCATTGGTATTCTTTGGGTCTCAAATCGAAAGAAAATAAATCTAGAATCTACTTAAATTTTGGTAAATGACCTTTTATGAGCTATTGAAGTCTTATATGAAAAGAAAAATGGGTGTTATGGGGCAAAATATGTTACCGGCCTGTATCATAGGAAAAAAAACAAGGAGTCCGAACATCTGACAAAAATTCCAAAACCTCACCTTAGTACATCCTTAAGCACTTTTCTGGATTTAATTTCATTGGAATCGCTTATTGCTAAAAAGCAAAGGTACAAAAATACATTGGCAGCTAAAATGAAATTGCAGGCCAAATTTGCCTGATGGAAAAACCGTCCGATGCCATTTCTTGCATTCTGCGACTTTCCAGCAGCAAACATATATGTATATGCTGTTTTTTTGGGGAGGGGAGGATGTTCTTTGTTAAGTTTGACTGTTAGGGTTGGGTTTTATTTTGGGGGGTCAAAACCTAAAAGAATTACAAAAAAGATAAATAAAATAAAATAAAAATTATTTGTCTTAAAAATTTTTGGACCTCAATGAGGAGATTCATACTCATCACGTAAATGGTAAATTTATGCAAAGCGTCTAATGAAAAGATATCGAATACCAGTTTGGTAAATAGTTATTGGCGGTTTTACGTTTAGGAATTTTTTATATATGAATAATTCATATCAAGAAATCAAGAACTAAATAGTTTATGACATAGATGCCTACAGGATCAGGAATGCGAGGGTAAACTTAAAAACAACAACTCATAACACAATTTCACAAAAACGATAACTCGAAATTCTCTGCCAAGACTATTGTAATACATTGCAATCCAATTCAATTGCGTGTACTAAATAGCCTTCGTGTAAATAAGTTGTCAGTTAATACTATAAACACTGGAGGCACGGACAATATCACGTGATGTTGGCAGAACATGTGGCAAGTCTTTCAATAATCAATCCTGATAAGTCGAAGAATAAGAAAATAGTTTGCGTATGAAAATACATATAAAACCTGTAAATTCACAAATATATCGTTTAAGTAAGAAATATAAGTACATGAAAATGCAGTACTCAGCAGCATTATACCAAAGTGTAGTCGTATTTACTACTGGGGGGGGGGACTCGGTGGCCGATTGGTCTAAGTAGTCGAACTACTGTATCACTAGCCTGTCAATACTGAGGTTGTGGGTTCGAATCCCGCACTAGGCAGGTGCGCTTGACTCTCCAATCTTAATTGACTAGGATTGTCAGTTTTCCTACCGAAGGTCGGTGTCGGTGGTTCTCTCCGGGCACTTCGGCTTCCTCCACCAATAAAAACTGACCGCCCAGAATTACCACAATAGTGCTGCAAGTGGCGTTGAACACCAATCAATCAATCGTATGTACTGAAATCGTGTTCAAAGTACTATATAGCTTTAGTTCTAATAAATAAATCTAAAACCAGGCCTCGTTTGCTTGTAAACCACAAATGCGCCGTTTTACCAGTTCGTTAACCATGCTAACATGGTTGAGAATATTACTTACCAGTCAATCGGTTCACATACATAAGTTAACCATTCTACTATTACGGGGACGCTTATCGGCCTTGATTACCCATGAGATTTTCTCACGGTTTGCCTTGATTACCTATGGGGGTCTCGTATTCGGTCCTGGCTTATATTAAGCCGTTTTGGTCATTTAATATAATTTACTTTTACCTTTTTGTATGTGTGTATTGTATTTTGTTATTAAGTCGATTTGAAAAGCTCACTAGAGCTTGTGTTTATGTAGTTTATGGAATATCGACTCTAAATAAAACTTTGAATCTTGAATCTTGAATCTTGAATCTTAATGTATTCCATTTAATTTAAGAAAAAAAGAAATGTAAAAATATGTTGATGAAATAGAATATAATGAATAAAATGCTTAAATTGGAGAAAGAAAAAAAATATTGAATTTCTAAAACAAAAGATGAAATAAATATTTTTTGACGAGCTAACAAAGAAAAGTATATGATTGATTTACCGAACATAAATCCAAAGACAACAGTATTGAAAACAAACTGGGGTGCCACCAAAAGCTGGAACAGGAGAAAAAGTAAACTGGTAACAAAGAATGACTGCGAAGTTGTTGCAGTACACCAGACGCCAAGGGAAGAATGTAGAATTATGTTATGCCAAAAGTGACTAGCTTTAGTTGCTAAAAGTTGATGAGATTGCTGCAGCTACAGCAAGAAGGCAAACACTTATTGAAATTTGGTGTGCCTAATGCACTTTCGAATTTAGAAGCCAAATTAGATGTAATAACCAATTATACCTAAAGAATTGCGTAAAATTTGTTATGTGTGCACAAAATAAAGACAGAAAGATACAATTAAAAAATAGAATAACCAAAGAATGTATCTTGACTGCTTATTGCTAGCCTACAGTAGTTGCAGGATCTTAGTTGAGGTGCTAGTACTACGAAAGGCTGTCCACAGGAAGACAAACGACACACACATTCATTCAATATTAGCATACAGTATTCAACCATTCCATCGGTTCGCATACACCAATCAACAATGTCTTGGATCTGACATCATATAAATTAAACTATGCATGTTTATTTTGTGTAAATTTCGCAGATCAACGATACAGGTCGTATTTTTGTTTCGAAGAATAACACATGATGTTTACGTTAAAAGTTTGTCGGAAGGAAATGTAAGGTTAGGGAAGAATCAAGTGTACCATATTGATGTATTGATATGTTTATTACATACACTGCTGAGGGCAATAGGATTTCTTGTTAAATACACTACTTCTAATGACTACTTTATTCATTTAAATATATTTGATGGTCAAATAAAAAACTGATACTGGGTTATCAAAGCTTTACAAGATCTTTTTCGTAGCAAAATATATTTTCAATACATAGGAGAATATGTATTGCATGATATAAATATAAGGAGATGATGGTATGATGACTATTGAAATAGCTATCCACCAGAGTCTTAATGTAGTGGATTAAACTAAAGGTAACCGAACGAACTTCAACAATAAGCAAAACCCATACCGTATCAGGGGCGAATCCAGGATTTTAGGTTAGGGGGGGGGGGGGCGCAAACTTAAATTTTTGCGAGCGGAGCGAGGCGAAAAAAATTTTTGAGGTAAAATTATCGAAATATTCTTTATTTAGCTGAGGACAACCCATGCTTTGCAAATTTTTTTTTTTGGGGGGCACGCCCGCCACGCCCCCGCCTGAATCCGCCCCTGCGTATAGTCGGCTATGTCTGACAGGCCTTGGCATGACAAAATGTGAACAATTCAAACGGCAAAATCAACGACTTGACTTATGATAAGACATGCAATAAACGAAAAACAAATATAACAGACAGCAATCACCGACAACGACTGAATTAAAGGCTCCAGACACGAGACATGAAGGCACTTAAAGAATGAGGAGGAGTTAGACATGTGTGTGACCGCTCAACCCTGCCCAGACCTTGGAAAAAGTGGTGAACATTTGCGTTGAAAGGGTGTTATTAAAAGACGGAGAAAATAGTGAACGCAGGTATACCTGTTCGGTCAATGGGTAAAACTTTCCGAAATAAAAAGAGCACCTTGATTTGAAGGAATGAAAATAAAAGATTTACCCAGCAATACAACGTTTAGAGTTTCACGGTATGCTTTCACTACCAAACACTTTAAAAATAACTCCAAAATAGCAACTCCGAGTCGATCGACAGTAAAGTCACGACTCCCTCTAACTAACAGAATGGAATAATATTGACTCTCACTACATACTGTTATTATCACATTTTATTTCAAAATTGTAGATGAAATCTTCCTACAAACCATGCTTTTTTATTAGAGAATGTTCAAAGCATATTAGCTTCAAACTATGTTTTAGCATTCATTGTATTTGTGATGCATTCCGTTTTATTATACAGACAATTTTGCTTGTTTTTGTTACTTTAATTACCTTACGATTTAAGGGTATAGCAAACTTTATTTGACTCTCAAAGCATGGTTTCTACTCGCTTATGTAAAGAAAAGAGAACACTTGTTTCAAATTTCCTTTTTGCATTGTTACTTAATAACTGAGGCCTGCGAGTCTTCTCTGACTTCAAATTGGTGCATTATATGGTATAAAATATTGAGAATAACGACTTCGACCAAATTTTTACAAGAGTTTAGTATTTTTCCCGTGATTGTTAAATTATATTTCAATCTGTTTATGTTTTATGAAGAGCGGTTTTACAAAACAGCATGTATCGAAACGATTACATGTAAAGCTTATAGCAAGCTAAAATTGACTTCCAATCAATTGTATCTTCCCGCCCATGTAAGGAAACGATAACTCTTGTTTCAGTTTTCTTTTTGTATTGTTACTAAATAATTTAGGTTATTTAGTCCTAAGCTGGTGCATCATATGGCATGAAATAGTTTTAATAACGACAGTCATCAAATTTGCCTAAGAGTTTAATATTTTTCTCGCGATGGTTAAATTCTGTTTTATTTTTATATGTTATATAGAACCGTTTTACAAAATATCAGGTATCGAAACTAACTTTACATGTTTCAAT